ACTTTAATAGTTTTAAAGGCCTAAACGCATTTTTTACGCCTTTACACTTGAATCAATCTTTAAACTCTTATATCTCGAGAAGGGTACATTTTTATGATCTAAAAATTGCTGGGAGCCTTCCTTATCACTTGTTGAAGCATTTAAAGCATTTTAATTAAAAAAAAAAAACAAAAAAATTTTTTTTTATTTTCGTTGCACGCAACGTTGCAAACTTCAGAGTCATCCTTAAAACGTGTATGTAACCTTTTGCTAATGAATAAACTACCTTGGATGAAAGAATCTTTGGTATATAAGTCAAAACTTCAGTGAAAAATACTAAGTAGTAAAGGCAATTTTTCTGATTTTCATAGCTCCACGAAAGTATTTAACATCTTTTCATATGTTACAATGCACAAATATAAACAATAAAACTTTCCATACAACTCGTAAGAACGAAAATATTGAAAAAATGAGTGGCAACATTGTTTTTTGCAATAAACAATCAGGGTGTTTTAGCAAATATAGTATTTAAAGTATACCTGTGTATCCGTACTTACAGTACGTGGCTCATATAGAAATAATAATATATAGGTGTACACTCGTATGGGCGCGCTCGCTAAAACGCCCCGAACGTACTTAATGGTTTGTTTTTGTGTAACGTATGAAAATGTTTTTTTTTTAGAATTGTCACCGAGCTCTGAAAAATCGCATTTTTCAAAACTTCGGGAATTTTTTACCCGAAAACTGTAGGGCTTAGGTAAGTATATACATCCCAAGTGGTTTTTTGTTCCTAATGTGCCAAAAAATATGAAAATATTTTTTTTCAGATAAAAAAACAACTTTGACGAAGCTGTTAACAAAAAACTGTTTAAATAATACCTGACCACATTCCTGGGTAGCAGGATGAACTCTTAGGTAAGTACCACATTTTGAGCAAGTAAGCCCAAAAAAATGGGTGGGAATAATTTCTCCCGATTTCTCACGAGTACGATTTCCGTGGCGCTCAATATTCCTATCCTTTATTGTCCAATAATCGAATATATCTATGTATACAACGGCGCCACGGAAATAATACTCTCCCCGTGAAAAACGCTATTTTTTCTAATTTGATCGATTTTAGTCTTCAGACGTTTACAGCGTCTTTTGGATCGGATCGGGCTGTGATGATAACATCACATGATTTCATACATGCGATTGCAAATTTTCGCTGCGCAATAACTGCAAGAGCATAGTATCGATGTCGTATAGACAAAGACATTATCTTCAATCGTTATCTTAACTATTGTATTAAATGATTCTCTTAATACGATGCTTCGATCGGAGTTCGTAAGTAATTTTGCAATATATTATATATTTTTTACAAGGAGACAATAGTACAAAAACATAACAGTTGACATTAACTGTTACAAATTATAATTAATTGAAATTTATAGCTTATTATATGTACTGATTTTTATCTATCAATAATCAAAAAATTTTTGAGCAACTGACAAATATTGCTTATTTGATAAATAATTAAATTAATGAGATAATTTTTGCTTGGATACTTTTTCCCAAAATTCATTAATTAAATTTTAATAAAATAAATATGAATATACAATAGATTTGATGCATATCCAAATTCTAATTAAAAAGTTAGCGACGAATTTCTAGCATTTTAATTTAAAAACAATGACGGGTGTAAGTTTTCCATTAAAGCTGAAATTACGTGACGCAATACAGAGTTTTAAATTACTAAGAATCACAACAATGTACATTAGTTAAATATTAGCGGATTAGGAGTCCACAAAAGCTTGTTTTTTTTTTTATTGTTTATCAGCCCGTTCGGCAGTTTTTATTTGTACTACAATGTATAATACTTAAGTATGTGTAGGTACTCTGTAATATTACCCCGATCACTCAAAGTGTATGACTGTAGAAACGGCTAGTTATTCAATATTGGGTAGACTACGCATTAATTTGAGGTATTATATATATATTATATATTATATATATTATATATTATTGTTTACGTTTGAGAACAATGAAACCGATAAACGACAAGGTAAATGTCGGCACGAGTATCATATCCGGGGGCACGGTATGACACTCATCCCCGAACGAGCTATGGCTAGATGCGAAAAACAAAATGTATACAAATCTTATGTGGATGTAAGCTTCAGTACATGGAATACACTTACCTCGTATGTTTTTTGACCCGGAAAGCCTTAAAAACACTCTGCCCGAGACAATTTCTCCAGGTAAATAGATGGCACCGGACTTGTTAAAGTCGATTCGTAAGTCTTGCAATTTAGGCATTTTTCTGCTAAACCTTTAACCAACGGCTACATGACTTGATTACTGATAAATTTTGCTACCTCTCACCTTGTTAAGAATAAACAAAGGGAAGACCAAACAAACTGCACTGAATCATTGATAATATATCTGTTTATCAGGTAAATAAGACGCATGCTTTATAATATGGCGTAACTGGCGTAAGCTTTCACCATGTGAGTGAGATGTATCTCATGAGTCTGCACGTCCAAAGGTGTATTACTGTGACAATATACTAATTTCTGCCCGACAGTAAATAATCCTATAGAGCTATTATTGCTTTCTCCTCTGACAAGTCTTAATTCCTACTGCCAAGTCCAAATTCCAACAGTCAACACGGCAACCACTCACTGTGACTCACAACCACCAAGCAATGTTACACTACATTTAATCAAACACATAGACATATATGAAGTATAGACTACTCGACAACTCGACTGCTCGTTTTTATGTACGGCATACTGAAGCACAAGTGGAAAGAGATACTACATCGAGCGTGGGTATCTGTCTCTCTTGCAAATTTCCAACGGTGAGGAGGTTGCATCAGCCAGACTTAGTTTACTGAGTCAGTTCAATCTCCCACAGTTGGCAACGTGCGAGAGAGACAGGTACCCCCGCTCGATGCTATGCATATAGATATCAGATAATATAATTCTTATATCTCTAAGGTGCTATGCTATGTCTCTTTCTGAGCAGTCTATGTTTCTTATACATCTATGGTTTTTGTGAAATGTTTGTGCTATTTCATTAAATATCCAACAGATGACGAAATGGGCAGCTAGGACCGTATATTAGTATATATAGTTATTTCATATTATAGTACTTTACGTCCAGCTCTTCTGTAGATGCACTACTTATAAGGGCCCTATAGGGCACTTAGCACTTGGGATTGGGATGGGATTGGAAGGGGAGAGGTCCTTAACAACTGCTCCGCATTCGCCCATGACGATTGTCATGTGGATCAGGAATACCCCGGGAAATTTTCCGAAGGAAAAACCTGATCTGGAACAGCCCGGTGTACTTGCCTCATTTCTAACCTGATATCTAAGCTGCAGACTTAGACAACGGGGCAGAAATTTGGCATATCACCTGCTTACGATGTCGAAGAGACAGGGAAACAGTCAATCGATCCACGAAGCGAACAGCAAAGGCGAAAGGCGAAGCGGTGAGACTTGAATGGTCACCCATCCAAGGACTAACCGTGCCAAATACTGCTTAAGGGGGCTCCTTCACGAAAGTCCCCAAACAGAGATATATTATTTCTTGTAAATAAAAGTCTACTGAATTTACTGGTGGTCTAAATTATATTTCAAATGGGTCAAAATTTTGAGAAATCCGAGCTCAAAGTTGTAACTATTAGCACGTGTTCCTATGGGGCAGCGTGAAAAACAATTTGTTTTCGTTTATAATAAACCTAAATTAAATGTCCCAGCAGACTGAATATATACGTTTTGTAGATGAAGTCTTCCTCTGTAATATGCTGTATTAGAAATTGTGGGTAAAGGACCATTTTAGCGAGATTTTTGTGATGGAAATAAATAAATAGTGTTCGGGAGGTCAGGAGGTCACGTGGGTAGCAGACGTACTTGTCCACGATATATATACCATATACCTATATATTACATCGCTATACTACACCAACGCAGGTGGTCTGGTCTGGTGGTGTACCCTCGTATGCACTAGACTGGTCAAAACAATAATTTATTTTTCGTACAAAGTTAAACTACAGACATAAATATCATTTTTCCCACTTCATACGTTATTAAAAATATCATAATCATTTTCAGACACATTTGTTAATTAAAAAACAAAACTTTATTTTCTGTTTGTCTTTGACTTCAGCAGTAGTCGTAGGAGCCCCCTTAACCTCGGTGATCGACGGGACTGCGACTCTGCGCTTCTATCGCTGAGCCTTGTCAGTCCACCGTATACATAGTTTTCTTTAATTTTATTTTATATAGTGCTCTACGTTCGGCTCCTTTACTAAGGGCACTACTATGGGCACTTAGCACTTGGGAATGGGACAAGGACCTAAACCCTCCTCGAGGAGCATTGCGTGGTAAAAAAGCACATGTGAAAAATCACAAAGGTACTTGCCCGAAAACAGTATATGTATATAGTCACACCAGTAGTGTTGGCAAACAGCACCATGTATAGTTATACTAGTACGTCTGCTTGGTGTTCGTTTCTTATGTGGCACCTAGTGCGAGCAAGTGAAAGTAACACAAAATGTTCACAAAAATTTACTGTAGGCAATATAGGCAATGCAGCGTTGGGTTAGGCGGATTCAATTATTCAATATCGGAACTTTTTCCCTAGATCGTATATATAGCTAAACGATCTAGGGAGAATGTTCCATCGAGATTCGAGCAGACAGCACAGCAGTGAAGGGGCATTGCCAAAGACGCGCGAAAATTAAAAATTGTAATATTAATAATACAAGTGCCTATCACCCAATGATCCGGAGTGCTAACTGGCCACTCTATTTTTTTTTTTTTTTTTTTTTTTTTTTTTTTTTTTTTTTTTTTTTTTTTTTTTTTTTTTTTTTTTTTTTTTTTTTTTTTTTTTTT